CGATTCCATGATTTCTATGAATTCAAAGCACGCCCACGCAAACCAACATAACCATCGGGTAGGGTAATTCTTCCCCTACCCAATGGGGATGATGAATTGCGTATGAAACCCTTGAGATTCTGTTTTGTAGTGGTCGCAAGGCTTTACAATGCATTATGTAAGATTGATGTTAGCTGATTTTATGGAATAAGTTGATTTCTATCAATGCATTGGATCTAAAAAATAATCCCGTAGAGCTATAAGTATTACCATTAAACTTCTTGTAATTATGTAATAGGCTTTCTTACATTTGATGTATTTACCGTTTGTATTATTTGATGAAACTCAAATTGATGAAACCTCCGATAATTGTACCGCTTCTCATGAATAATGCCTAGTTTTTGCCATTTTGATATAATCCAACAGTAATCATGCCGACAGGTTTTTTTTTTTTTAAATAATTAAGAACGGTTAAAATTCACCAACTCAAGATTTTTTTTAAATCCTTCCAAGAAGGTTCAGAAAGGTTGAGGCATTAGAATACGCACCTTTTTATTTCGATCGATCTGAACCTGGTGCTTGAAGCTAACGTGGAAAATATTAAATTTATTGCAAATTAATATTCACATTCTACAGGGACCACATAAATTTTCCCCAGAACTACCATGAAATGGAAGTCATATTTTTATCTATTCATCTGCACCGAGATGACTCACACGTTCCCATTCAAGATAAATTCAGCACACGAGCCAGATACTTTTTCCACCCAGCTGCCAGTTTAGATGATGCTGGGTAGGTGGCGCACTTCTTGGTATTTTGTACGTGTGGGGTTTTTTTTTCAATGTTTTTTTTTCAAGATCAATAGAAATAATTTCATGCTTTAGGATTAATTTAATAGTTGTATCGTAATCCACATTTCAAACCTCCTTCTTCCCTTTTCCCATCCAAAAAATTGTAAATCTCCGCTAACCTCGAGACAACCGCGAGTACTCGGTCCAGTTCCTTTAACTTTAAATATAAGACAGTAATAATGTATAACGCAAAGGATAACTCGGCTCTGTAAGGTTTATTCGATTGAGCCTGTACAAATAAAGTAATTAAAAAAAAAAAGACCACGTAGTCCTACCTCACAATTGTGTAAAAACCCATAGGGCTGCCCCTTGTAGTTTTTAATTTACGATATCATTCCAATCAGAAATGCCATTTTTTACCTTATTTCCCTTCAAAGCAAAATTATTAGATTTCATGCTGTGAATGAATGCAATTGATTAAATAAGGATTTGTATCAAGAATGTAATAAAATAATTCTGATTCTCCTTCTTCTCTGACACATAATGTTTATTCATACTGTGGTTTGTATTATTTGTTGATGAATAAGGCCAGACTATTTTGATCATTCGTGAGTAATTATGAGTTACTCAAATTTATTCGGAGCAAAAATATTAACTTTAAGTACAGCTGGCTTGCCTCTAGGTGAAGGCTATGATTTAATGAATTGTTTTCAAAGGTGACAGGTGAAAAATCAACATTACTATACCACGTCGCTGCCAAGGACAGACCAAGGAAAAAGTCCCACCGGATAATCACCAGGAAAATCTGAGCCCTTAATATCAGGACTGCTAGAAGAAGCTCGAACTGCAGAAGGAAGATTTGGAGAATTGGTTCAAATATGAGACAGATTTGGGAAGCACAAATGACGACTCACGATCAGCAGTGGCGGCACATCACGAAGCTGGACGAGGCAATTGGCCGCCAGAAGCGTACACTCGCGGTTTAGGGTGGATGAAGTGTGCCACCACCATACGTTACACAACAGCACCTCAGATTGCTAAAGGAAGCACCATTCCCGGAACGGAATTGAAGCGTTGCTGCGAAATAAGAATGTGCTGGTTCAAACAGTTACCGAGATCCGTTCGATTATAGACGAAATGAATGTCCGAGCGGATTCGATTCTGAACAACCAGACCATATTAGCATAGAGGTATCTCTAAGACCATCTGAAGGTCCCGAAGAAACGTGCTCAACTTTTTGGCTCAGCTCTGGTACTATCTTCGGTCCCAAGCTAATCGATGCACCCCTCGAAACATAGGAAAATCCACGAATTTTAGCAAAATGTGAATCATTACCCAAAACAAACACTTATGCAAAGTTTCATACAAATTGGAGGATGTCGAGTCTGTTTGGTGTGGAACTGCTCACATGTAGATAGATATTTCTGCGCCCAGTTAGTTTTGATTAAAAAAAACCCAAATCCACCATGAGTAATCACCATGGCCTGTTATTTTTAAAATTGAACTGATAAAACCGATAAACCAATCCACAATCAACTTCTTTAGATACCAAATTTTGAAGAAACGGAAATACAACCTAAAAATATGCTTTTGTCGACTGGTCCCCAAATGCTTACACTGCAAACGAATTTGGCTCAGTTTGACATTTACTCATGCGTTGGGATAAATTTATAAAAGCGTAGACAACTCTTGCGCCGAATGACCTATGCTTTCAGAGATTTTTCATATGAATGAGTAAAAGTGACAAACTCTCTGAGTCAGTTTCGTTTTCAGTGTATACGGTCATGGAGCTCGCGAGCCAGATGTAATACACGGCGGCGATATTCAAAATTCTGCTTTGGTCACTCAATTGAGCTAATTTACCATCGTCAAGGCAAACTATGTCAATTGTCAGTGACAATGCTGTGTAGCTTTTTGTATCAACTATACTGCCGCTATTCGCATAACAGTCCTATCTAGATAGGAAATCCATAGGACAAAGGACTGTTATGCGAATAGCGGCAGTATATGTGTAACTAAACTAAATTACTTGGCAAAACAATTACATGGAACCGTTAAAGTGAACTGCTTGGATAACAATAATGTGACACAGAATGCACGAAATTACACCGTTTGTTTTCAGGTGAATCTTTGTCATTGACGAAAAGCTAAATGAGATTTTGAAGAAGGATCAAGCCGTTCTACCGTATGCGTGATAATGTTTACACCATTGAGCAATGTCAAAATTAAAAAAATTCTCAAAAATTTCGTTTCGGGTTTTTACCCTTCTTACAAAGAAGGGTATAGATATCACTTGGAAAACCGACTATCGATCCGAGGTCCGGAGGACCGAGTGTCATATACCATTCGACTCAGCTCGACGAGATCGGAACATGTATGTGTGTGTGTGTGTATGTGTGTATGTGTGTATGTGTGTGTGTATGTACGAAATGAATGCGCTCACGTTTCTCAGCAACCGCTCAACCGATTTGGACAAACTCGGCGCCAAATGATAGATCTTGGGGTCCAATTGAACGCTATTGAACGGTTTTGGAATCGATGAACCGGTTCCGGAGATATGGCCGGAATAAGATCCGGTGAATATGGGCCTTCACGCTGGATTTAACGGAAAACGTATTAAAACCATCATGCGACACATCAAATTACTACAGAATTCAAAAATAAGATCAATGCAAGTCGTGTTAAGTGTTCCAGACCACATTGGACACACTTGGACATGTTCCGGGTACCCCGGGGAAGTTGCTTGAATATGAATTGAATTAAAACCCATTAAATCACATTAAAATACGATGATAAGGTGATTGGTAGCCTCACCAAATAGACTACACCCGGATATATTCCGGGTACCCCCAGGCAGTGGCGTAGCGTCACTGGATGACACGGGGGTGGGGGGCTTGGTCACTGATAATGACAATAAAATAAATAAACTTGAATAAGTAAGAAGGGTCTGATCACACCATAGGTGGATAAATTCGGGTTTTTTTTTATTTATTCGAAGGGGGGATGTTTCTCAGAGTCTTAAACAATGTTAATCATCGATCGAGTTTCCACTTGCTGCAGTTAAGGCCTCCACACACTTTCGGAATCACGGCAGGTTCTAATAACAGAACAGACCTTCTGAGTGCGGTTCGAAGTGTGGCATGGAGCTCCATCTTGTTGAAATACAACATTTGGCTTCGGACCGTACTGTTCTTTGATCCACGGAAGAACATACTTACTTAAAATCCCGATGTAGACCTTGGTGGCGACAACTTCTGGAATGAACACCGGGTCCATTTTTTTGCCATCGGAAGCCACCAATCCAAACACCATAACGCTAGCAGAATGCTTGGTCAGATACACGTTCTTGTGCTCGACGGTCACGTCTTTAACCGGAAGAGAACTAATATACCGGTCGGTTCTGGAATTTGATACGGGATCGACGGTAAACATGCTCTCGTCGTTGAACAGGATTACCGGATTTTTTCGCTTCAGGAAGTTCAAGATTTTCTTGCATCGTTCGACTCGTAGCTCCCGGATGCGGTTGGTAATCATGTGAATTTTTTTCCTTGCCCTTTACTTCGCCCCGCAATCTTCCTTTACGATCTTCCGTGCCGTAAAGTCACTGATCCCGTGTTCCTTTGCCATTTTCCGCACTGGATTCACCCAGACCTTCCTTTTGATAGCAGTGATAACCCTTGGAACCCGAGCTGACCTCGGACGACCTGTGGCCACCTTCGCGGATAGTTGTCCTTTCTTTTCTCGGTTTTGACGGTCCACCGGGATACTCTCACGGCGATTGAAATGTCAACATTTGCGACATTTGCGCGTGGGACAAATCACGAATACGCTGCCACTTCGTCATGGTGCAACTGTCAAACTAAGTAAATCATTTTCTTTTATACACAGCCTACTACGGTATGAGCTATAGGTTACGTGCATGCAAAGAAAACCAAGGCATTGTATGCAAGGTGAAACGGGAACCTTATTTGTACAATGGTGCAAACATTATCACGCATACGGTATGTGAAAAACAGTTTTTTTCATTATCGCGCAAAAGTCTGTCAATGATAATGACTGCTCGCCAGTACGAGATAGTGGATTTTCTATGTATTATTATCGTTATCGGAATTCGACGCTGCGGAGCAGATAAGTTATCACAATCCATTTATTAAAGCGATGTGGCGGTGAAGTCAAGTTAGTCCTTATCCAGAGTCCTCAGTTGTAAGGTGAAGAACTCAGTGCCTTGAGATATTCTTGTGGTTCTTAATTTGGTGAATGAGGCATAACATCTGTGATCAGGGAAGTAAAGTCGTTGGTACCCGGTTCATGAGTTGGATGTGTCGATAGGTAGGATCCAGTAGTGGGAGCTGCCTCCCTGGCGCCGTTAGCATTGGTGCTCAGCACGGAAAACAAGGTCGACGGAAAACAAATCAAGAAAAACAAATTTGGTGAACAAAATTGTGCTCAGAAGAAATCAAATTAGTGGAAATAACGAAGCGTTTCAGTGTATAGTGAAACTAAGTGTGAGTATCATAATATGAATAGTCGTTTAAAGCTTAATTACAGCCATATAACAGCACGATTAAATTCTAGAGATGACCAAAGATTTTAATTCGATTTGCTCGTGCATTGTAACGGAAAGATAAAATATTGAACAAATGACGCAATGGTGATATCTTGAAATTCCTATACACCTGTACACAGCAAAAAAAATGATTTTAATATTACATCCAAGAGGATGCACTTCAGTCATGTCGAAAATCTCATGTAATTTTTATGGTCACACAAATAAACAAATGCAGTAAAAGCAACGTAATGTCAGTCTGTGCACTGTATTAATGATAATTTTGTCCTTTTTGGCAAGTAATATTACACCATATTTTCGACACGATTGAAGTGCACCCACATTGATGTGATATTGAAATTAATTTTTTGCTGTGATATGATAAAAACATTAAAAACCTATCACGCTTGTTCCTTTAATCAGCCCGCGGTCTTACACATATAAATCACATTTTTTTTAACTTTGAAAAACTGTGATTCATATATCGGGTAAGGCAGTTTTATGCATTTATTTTATAATCTCATAAGATTAAACGAAATATAACGTAAGGTATGAAATCGAATAAAATGAGACTAAACAGTGTTTGTTATCGTACGTAGCTTAAACAAAAAAAATACTAAACGGTTGTGTCCTAGAAACAACCGCAGTACGACGTAGAACTACGCAAAATTGATGTATGTCAAACAAATGTGACTATTATACTTTATCATAAATTTTTCAAGTATTTCAATGTTTTGGTAATGGTTCAATGTTGGTTCAAGTATTTTTCCTGGAATTTAATAAATTGTGAAAATGGGTCCTAAATAAGCCGTTGTGGGATAAAACAGATGCCAATAAATTAGGCCTCTGAAGCAGAGAATAGAGTGAAGTTTGCATTTTATGACAACGCAACAGGCAGTTTTTTTTTTCCTTATCAGAAGACGGTACTTTCAATATTGAACAAAATGTTGGTTCATATGTCACCGAAGTAGGGGAGGAAGGGGTATAACGATCATACGGGATTTAAACACCTCTTTGTTCTCCAATATGGAGGACAACCCTAACATAAAATTACCACGCATCATCATTATGTACTTTACAGCGTGTTCATAGAATGATGCAAAATAGAGTACTGTGACTTTTCTCAAATCAAACGTTTGGTTTCCAATAAGTAGGTGGTTAGTACAACATTCATTGAAAATTAGGCGATTCAGTTATTGAATTTCAAAGTCAGAGCAAAAGCTCGTATACAGGTTCTCCACCTGTTCAATGTTTTGATAGTGAGCATCATAGTTGAGTTACACCGGGGTAAGTTGAAACAGTACGTGTATCTCTTAGTGGAAGTGAATATTCACTGTAATTATTTTTGCGAGGCATTGTGTAGGGCTAACTACCCCATTCCCGGCCTATTAAGCACAACCCGCATTTTGTCTTTCTTAATCTAACGCAGTTGAGCACCAAACGGAATGTTATTGACGGATTTCACGCCAACTCGTCTTCGGAGTTGGCAGCACCCTCTCAGAACCTTATGAAACTTTGTGGGTGTGGAGACTTAGCAATTTTAAGCAACTTTGAGTACTTATTTTTTTCAAAATTTATCTCGCCTAACATTTGATAAGGGTCAAAGTTTTTTGTCGATTTTTTTTTTCAAATCGATATAGCTTAAAAATGACAAGCCCTACAAAATAGTGATGTATGGCGAACTTTTAGCAAATAATCTGAAATTTTATAAAAAAAATTAAATAAATTAAAAAAGTAGAAGGGTCTGTGCCTAGGGGCACGAACGGAAGCTTGACGCAGGACCGCTAGTGGACGAAACAAATGTGAACATTTAGTTCTTTTAATTGATCAATCATCAATTATCTTAACCCTTTCCGTTTTTTATTTGTAAGCGTATCAAATTTGTAGTATTTATTTCAAAGAACAAGTTGATGAAGAGAATCCAAGGGACTGTCAACTTGAGTATTTTCCGATACATCTACTATTCGACTTTAAAAGTTGAATTAAGAATTTTTTGTTATTTATGAATTTTTAAGTTTTGTGCATTTTGGTATTAAAAGTGTATTCAATTCACCCCTCACAGGATTTCCTTCCGAATTATATGATTGGGGCGGGGTTCAAAGTATCGTTTGTGCAGAATATGTAAAAAAGGAGGGACTTCGAGAGATTGAACTCGTGAGAGCTAATTTTCTCACAAATTTGATTTTATTGGCTTTCTGGGGACTGAATATACACCCAAAACGAATTATTCCCACTTCTCTCAAATTCTATATGGATTTTTAACACTTCCTACCAGCGTGTTCTGGAAAATGGTCGGACGATGATTAATCACACCAATACATTCGGGCCTACAATTTCACACCTTCTATAGAGACCAGGTTGAGCCTTGATAGCTAGCTGCTTGCGGGAACTGATGACCTTGACAAATGTCCAAATAATACTCTTAACAAATTTATGGCGGTCCTGAAAAGGACCGTTTTGTAGTGATGGTTGAGTAATGCTGAGCTGAGCACGACGAGCTACTGATTCCGATCCTAGCCTAGCGGTGGGACTTCTTCCTCCTTCTCTATGGTTGCTCATATGAGCTCTGCAGCTCGCTGCTTGCAGGCATCCTCTTTCGTTGTTGTTGTTGTTGATGTTGAAAGCACTCCTGCTGCTGCTGTTGTTGCTGCTACTACTGCTGCTGCTGGACTGGACACCACCACTTACGGTGATTGAATGAGCACCGTTCAGTGGGACCGCATCGAATTCGATTTTTAAGTCTGTGTTAGGGAATGCGCTGTTTTCAGACATTCGGTGATAATTTTGATCACCATTGCAACAGTTGTACATTTAGTATTTTTCAATAGTGACCTATTGAAAATTAACGAAGTGTTAATTTTAGCAGATTGGTAGATACATTTCCAATCGTTTGGCTTGTTTAGAATTAAAATCTATCTGCTATTGGTCGAAACCTGACCTCTTTTCGTAATGCTGTGCATTTTGGTTTTTCTAGCCCTGATGTATGTGTTGGTAGAGGGAAAAATGTAAACTTTGCGGGAGACGATGTCTTAACACTAGAAAGTAATTTTGTGAAAAATGAAGTAAAACAAATCCTAGCTAGTTCTGCATAATGATTTTGTTTGATTTTATTTATTTGTAAATTCGCCGGGAAATACCAGCTAGCGATTTGTTTTTTTATGATAACTCCTCACTTGCAAACAGGCAAAAACTCACAAACAGGCTGCTTTTTCATGGTATACAGTGTGTTAATTCAAAAATCAATAAATTATCTCAACATTTAGTGGCAAACCATTCATAAATTTTGGTAACATACAAAAAATTCTATAATCCACATTAAATTTCATATGTAAGCGCCGATTGAAACAATCTTTTCGACGTCACTACAAGGGTGATTGATTAAACGAAAGAAACGAATCGTGCGGAATGAAAGCCGAGGAAAAACTAATTGCACCACACGCCGAAAGCACTGCTACTGCTGCTACTAATTTCGACGACCGAACACCACCACACAGTGGTGTGGTCGTTGGGAGCGTGTGGTTCTGAGTATGGCGATGAGTGTGCAAAAATATTACGCAATTCCATCCTCCTTATTCACACGCGCCCGAGCATTGGAGGCGAATGCCACTTCGACTTGTTTCGTCTACTTACTACTCTCTGACGACTGTGCTGGGGAAGCAGCATTTGTATGTAGGTCATTGGTGGATTTGTTAGTTAATTCGACACTTTTGAACAATTCTGGACAATTACCAGTTTTTCAATAGTTTCTTGTTGAAAATCAACATTCGGAAGCATTTTTATCGATTCGTAGCCATATTGCTGATCGATTGGTGATAAAATTGTTGAAATTGGAGCAGGGGCAGCTGAGTTATTAACGTTCAAAATCTTTCTTAATTTGTTACATGTTCCATTTTCGGTTTTCACAAAGTGTACCCCCATATAGAAATCAAAGACGTAGTCCTACGTCAAAATTGGTTTCTACACTCTAAAAAAATATATTTAAAAATTAAAAGTCATTTTCCCAAAAATGGTACCCCTCAGATTTGCTTGATATTTTTTCTCATGAAAGGCAATATAATTACCTAACTTTTCTTCATACATCGCAAAGTGGGCGCTTTTAAGGAAAAAAAGTTGTTCGAACAACAACTTTTTCATGTTAATTTGTTTTTAGCGTGTTTCACTCAAAGTCGAATGGCGGAGGCGAACCAGCCTAAGGCTGAAAGCCTCCTAAATAAAGCTAAATTAATTAATTAATCAAAGTCGAATAGTAATACGCGCACAACCTTATTAAAATCCGTTGAAACTTAATGAGCATAAAGATTTTGATCTTTTGATAATCTGGGCGTGCTTAAAACAAAAATCTAGCCTAACATTTGAAAGGGCCTAATACAGAGGATTTTCCTGCATTTCGAATGGTGTTTTAATAAATGAAAACTCTAGTGTTTTTGTTTAGTGCATAATTTATTTTCCTATAATTCTCCATACATAATTTGAGTTTTTCATTGATTATTAGTCTATCGGAAACAGAGTGAAATTTTTCGGAGTTTCCTTTGAATGTGAAAATCGCTTAGTAGAAATTATGTTTTGAGAAATAGGTACAAAACAATGACATTTTTGTGTACCAGGTATAGTTTTTACATGACTGAACAGCTCCTTGAGTTCATCGGACATCTTTGTGTATTGATCATTTGATATGAAGCAGAAGTTCAATTTTGTTATGCTTGTATCTGTTTGTTTAACTGCCCAGTCATACAGTTCTTGTGGAGTTGTGATTGTGTTTCCATAATCTCGAGCAAGAGTTGCTCTCTTTGCCATTCGTTTGAGAGTTCCTCCAATTGCGTCACATGGGCCTTTCCCATGAGACGTTGCGAAGAAGTGCCATTCTGCTTCCAATCCATACTTGGACTTGAAGTTGCACAAACTGGCAAAATTCTTTTTATTTTTGTAATGAGCCGCTGCTCCATCTGACATGAAAGTAAT